GTCAAGGGCTTGCGCCACACTCCTTACCAGGAACGACTGGAGATACTCGGAGTGTTCAGCGGATGGGACCGGCGACTTCGTGGAGACCTCATACTAGTGTACCAGTTATTGGGCGATCCCAGTCACGTATGCCGCCACCTCTTGAAGCTCAGCCCGAACACTAACCTTCGCGGTAACAGTTTAAAGCTGAGCCCACAGTACAGTCGTCTAGACTGTCGGAGAACCTATTTCTCCCTCCGGATCTGCGGGCCCTGGAACGCCCTTCCAAACTCAGTAGTTTGTGCCCCCACATTAGATACGTTTAAAAAGCGATTGGACGTCGCACTGAGCGCCCTGCGCTTTGTTTTATGAACGAAAACGCTTGTATATATTTAGGCTGACCAGCCTCTTTGGATTTATACCCCAAATTCACGGTCGTAAATCTGTGCGAACCGGTGAGTACTCCATTTTTATTTGCTACCATCACCAACGATAACAATTTCTTAGCCAGTTTTGCGTCGTACCACTTTATCCCCCTAAAACTGTTATACTTCTACCTTTTATCTCACTGACACTCCTTACTTCAACCACTTATGTGGTTTGCCAATTTGTTAGTATTTCTATTGCCAACCTGCGGGACTCGTTAAGTGTATGCTATTTTACCCGTCATATACCATTGTTCCAATTCGTGTGCGTGTTCGGACGTATTTGTGCATCACGCATGGCGCAAGGAACACTCATCAAGGTGAGCGCTCAGATAGGCCCTGCTGCAAACGATAAGAGGACGACTAGCATTCCAACGGTTCAATGTCGCCTACGTTGCGCAGACAATTGTAGTAACGTCCTTAAGATACGTGTAACCTGTTCTAGCTGCATTAGATCTTAATGTCCGCAATGTGTAGGCAGATCTGTCCAAGAAGTGAGCCAGACAAACAAAGTTGCTGACACGATTTGGTTTTGCCTAAATGTAAAGTCATTCCAGTTGTCAACTGTTTATCTTTGCTCATGAAAAAGTGCGATAGAATGACTGAGATAATTGCGCAGTTTATAAATGCTAGACTCGATCCCACGGAAGTAAATATGGCCACGATAATATCTTAACCAGCCAAAGTAAGCTCTGCCTCTAAGCCGAAGAAGACAGCTAGACGTTCCAACCGCACTGCAGCGTCTGTGAGTCTGAATCCACTGGGTCACCTCACTCCCATAAGTGGACAAGTCTCAAAATATGTCTGCTTCCACTTTCTAACCATAGACGATTCACCTGGAGATTCAGCCATGACACCGACAGCTCATAGTCGAAGACACTCCGGTGCGGATAACAAGCAGGTGACATACGCATCGATTGCTTCGACAAACACGCCGGTAGCGACACACATAGCTCCATCTTTTGTACCCAGCACGCGTAGAGCAAAGCAGCTTTCACCATCAACTCCAGTGGTGCCTTCTAAACAACCCAAATTGCCGGCAAAAACTATAAAGCCAACCCTCGCTAGACACAACCACGCTGTGTTAACTTTCGTGTGCACCAATGTTCCCGAGTCCAATTCTGGCAAAATGAAAAGCAAGTTGCTAGACGATCGCAAGCAGTGGCGATTGGTATTCGGGTTGAGCCTACAATGCTGAAACGCGTAACGCGGCACCCGACCACAGTGCACCCTGGTGAACCTCGAATTCGTCGCGTAACACTAGACTCAGCAGATGAGACAGAGGCTGCCCTGCTTTGAGCAGTTCGTCTTCGTAACTCACCGAGCGGAGCGCGCATATTACCTGATCTACTTTGGAAAAATCGCCCAAAAAACCGATTACCAACGTGGCATTCCTTAAAATGATAGCAAGAAAACCGTATTTGTTCATGGTGTTCCCGAGCTACTGCATTCTTCTGATCATGATGCGCAAACCCATGACCGAGGACAGTAGTGCTACATGCGCGAAGCACTCTCTGTTGATAATGTTATTGCCAAAGCCCTGACAAGAGTTTCGTCATCACCTAACTACAAGGGCTGCGGTCCAAGACTAATGAAAGTAATATTACACTCCGAGGGAATGACGCAAGTTCTGCTGGATAGCTGGTTAAAGTTTCGAGCCAGGTTGCCAACGGAGATCTGGATAATGGCAGCAGGCGAACGGTCAAAAGTCGTAAGCCATTCGATGGAACTTGCAAACGCTACAAATTCCTTATATGCACAGTCCTGCGGAGAGACCGACACAATAACACCCACGGCACACAACAGGACAGAGCACAGCACGAGTGAAACTTCTGTTCAGGAATGCTCAATAATGCCATGCAACTTGACTGAAATACATAAACCAAAAAACGATTAATGGCCGGCCACCTAACAGCCAGCTTAAAAACTAACACAAAGTTGACATCCGTCAACGCACTCCTGACAACAAAAGCCCTGTCTTGCATGTAAACAAACGCCCAACACCTTCTAAGCAAGTTGGCCGAATTTAGAGAAATCCGTGCCTCACAACCGCGGGACCTCGTCATGATTACAGAGACATGGTTAAACCCTGAGATAACCGATTCTGCGATCAACTTACCCGGTATGGCGCTGCTTCGGACCTACAGAACCAGAAGGGGTGGTGGTGTGATTCTTTACTATAATACAAACCGCTGACGTGAAGTTATCGATCATCCGGAAATCCGAGCTTCTGATTCGTTTTGGTGCCGCCTACGATTGTGAAATAGGGACACATGTCTACTTGCCATGATTTACCGCCCATCAAACTCAACGTCGGAAATGGACTCAAAACTGAACCGCGTCTTTCAGTTTGATTTGAACAAGTCCTACAACCAGATCCTTATCACTGGAGACTTTAACGTGCACAACATAGAAACGCCAGCAACCGAAGGTGCGCAGTATAAAGCTTGCTTGAAGGAGCTGATTGCTAGCCACCCTCTGTACAACCAAGTAACCTCTCCCACCAGATTTCGAACTGCTAACAAGCCGTCGATACAGCATCTTGTGCTAACTAACAAAGAACTCGTGGTTGAGGGGATAGTTACAAGCACACCACTGGGTCGTAGTGATCATGTTACTCTACTCTTTGACTATATATGCTATGCGAGTATCCTGAAAAGGAGGTCGATAAAGTGCATATTTTCATGCACTACAATGTATTATCAACGCTTCTTAAGGATACATGTTGGAGTTTCTTAACCGTATGCAACCAGATGTTGCCAGGGAAACCAAACCAGGGAAAGCAAAATGCATCAAATTACTTTTAGCCACTGTTCACACTGTCTCACTGTTACTGACATCAGGACTGCTTGAACAAGTGGCACCGTCTGGGCGACCCACATCACTCAAATGAGTCTGTCGCACTAGTGCACGCGAATCACTTCTCAAGGATCTGTGTGTTCAATGGTTTCGCGACAAACGGCCTCCCGTTGAGTCAGTCATCTATTCCAGGTGACGACTCCCTTATTGGTGAAACAAACAGCGTGTGATGCATCTGATGTCGGACAATGTCCATTCTTGGTTTGAGTAGTGGAGAGTTACTACTCAATTTGGGTTCCCTTCTGGCGGGTAACTATTGCGTTGATAGCCTAAATAGTTGCTCGGGGAGTAATTAATTTATATCACAAAACTTCTGGAGCCGGTAACACGACTTTCGAGTGGTAACAAACTACTCCGGGTACCTGAACACGCAGCGGAATACGAAGATCGTTGACAGCCAGGTGGCTCATGCGTCTTCTTAATGTTCAGTACCAGCCCACACAGAAGTCGATGGTCAGGCCGCTGCAAAGTCAACTTTTATCCACCTCGAGCCTTGCGCCACTCTACATCTGACAGACAAAACAAGGCCCTGCTCGGTAAGCGGCGACCGGGCATCCGTAGTACGTGCCCAAGCCAACGCAACTTATGCAGTGATGTATGTTGTTCTAAGGAACTAGCCTGATTATCACTGCCCAGCACTCGTCTGCGCACATCATCGTTGCAGCCACGTTGGTGCCATCAACAATAATCCGTAACCAGCGCTGATCAAAAAATTGAAGGCGCCTCAAATCGAACAGGCCAAGCCTCACTTCCATAGTGATGTACGGCCACCACTGTGACCTTGTAGACACCGCCATTCAAACAGAGGGAAATCCTATTCTGTCGCCAAAGATGTCGCAGATTCAAGAACGCATTTCTGGATTTTGCAATACGTGAACTTGTGTACACTAATTGCGTACTGCTCCTGCCTATTCCATTCCTCGATCCCGACAGGTCCTTTATGCTTCCTTCACAGTGTGCTGGCTCCTATTCAGTTCACGACTAATAGTCCGTCTGGTCACAAGGTGCTCAGAGCCAGCTGAGAATTTTCTTCTTGATTCCAATGTTTGTACCGAAACTATGTGCGACTTGCACAACATCAGAACCAACGTTCCTCATCCAGGTAGCCGAATTTTCCCTGACAAAAGTTAGTTGAAGTCCGTTCATTCAAGTTGAGGCAATAAATTGCCTTATACAGCAGCGGGCGTGGGAATATTTAACTACTCTACCTGAGACGAAATGGAAGCTCAATTCCTAAGCAGGAAGATGGTATAAACACCATCGGTATTGAAGTGCTAATCTATGTACTTTAACGATAGTCTTCGTCACGTGTTGTGCATGCCAGTACACCGACTCCTGTGACATGCATAGTTTGTGCGCCAGGGGTGTGGTTGGAAGAAGAGGAGGAGGGGAGGCCAAGCGAGGACTTAGTCAAGAGGAGTGAAAACCCTCACTTCGAAGTTGGCGTCGGTTGGTGCATCACGACCGCCTATCTGCGGTCCTAAGGATGATGAACCCATTTGGTTGGACACACTTGCTGATTTGGCTAGCAGCCGGCCCCAATGGCGCTTGTATTATGAGTTCCATTGTCCATCACCCTCATGCTTAGCCTCCCTCTCCCATCACGCTGTCATTCATTAGGCATAATATAACTCTCTTTTTGCGGCACGATAGCCGGCTGTTAGCTCTCCGGAACGATGTCCATCCGATATTGAGGATACAGCCGGCGTGCCTCTGTTGTTTTTCTTCTTCTCTTTTGTATTCCGGCACAATAGTTGAGGTGTTTTCCACCTGCAGCTAACGTGTATAATGATGGTGAATGAACGATTCCCTTCACATTGTGTCTGTACAAGTTGATGACACAAAAGTTCACTGAATTCATCGATGAGATGCCAACATCGGCCATGTCAGGAAGTTGTGTGGTTGCTTGTTTTACAACGGAAGTGTGTGCTCCAAACAGGCACTTCGGGTTACATACCTACAAATAACCTGCAAGCTGTACACCTTCAATGCCACATCGAGTGCTATGGTTCTGGTGAAATGCTGCCCCTCGGATAAGCGGATTAAGTTGACTGCCTAGACAGTACAGTCGTGGCACGTGCAGCTGTGAGGTTTGCGCACAGCGGTGCAATCGGTAATGATACCGTCAGTCCTCTATTCATGAACACAACTTTGTAGTGTGGGTCCATGAACCCCAGTGACCGCAGTAACCAGCTTGCATTCCGGTCTGTGGATTAAGCGGCGAGATATCCAGTCTATTCTAACAGTCGGAGCTATTTTGTCATTGACAAAAAGGATGCGATTCATCAAAGGGAGGAGGACGATGTGACCGGAATATGGTGTCAACCAGCTTCATTTAGGTAGTCATTGATCAAAACCGTTTCCAGGGAGTAGTAGTGAGATTTATTTTGTTTTTGAGAAGATTCGTAGGAGTGATGAAATTAAAGCGGAAACCTCAGAAGTACAAATCCAGACGACTTGAAGAATGGAGTACCTACTTGAACTTCGGTTATGATCGCGTTTGGTTGGAGACGTCGATATGGCGACGAACCGACCTCGATGGCGCTTGTGTTGTGAGCTTCTCTGTCTCGCTCTCGTTCTCTCTCAATCTTTGTGTATCTCCTAAACCGTAATCTCGCACCGTTGCACAATACAAATAAAGCAGAATATTCGCCTGCCTTTCTATTTCACGCAATTATCTTGCTGCTTTGCATTGAGGTAGGTTAATGGTGTTTGCTACCTCCAATCGTCACAGACGCGCTGATGCAATATTTGGAAAGCCACAATTTAATAGCCCCAGAGCAACATGGCTTTCGTCAAAAGCATTCGTGTAATACTAACCTATTAATTGCACGTAATAGCTGGACTGAAGCTGTTGATGATGGAGTTGGAGTCGATGTCATCTACCTGGACTTTTCAAAAGCGTTTGATAGTTTAGACCATGGAGTTCTCCTTCAGAAGCTTCGGAACTACGGCATTGGCGACCCAATCCTGAGTTGGATTAGCAATTTTCTACAAGAACGACTGCTAGTGGTGAGAGTCCGAGAATCATTTTCTCATGCAATCGACGTGACGTGTGGAGTACCGCAAGGCTCGGTTCTTGGACCTCGTCTATTCTTGGTGTTCATTAACGATTTGGCGAGATCAATTACTTCCGATTTCTTATTTTTCGCTGATGATATCAAGAGATGGCGAAGGATCAGAGGACTGGATGACCATGAACGGCTCCAGCACGATCTTAATGCAGTGTCGAACTGGTCAGTTCAAAATGCTCTACCGTTCAACGTAGACAAATGTCGCGTAGTACAATTACGCCATAGACATAACTACACCTACATACTTGGGACAAACGAATTGCAGAATAGCTCCCAGGAACGTGATCTTGGTGTGATCGTACAGAGCGACCTCAACTGTTCAAAACAGGCTGAGGTAGCTGCGAGAAGAGGCAACCAGCATGTCGGTATGCTGCGAAGGGTATTCGGGCGATTTGACCCTTCAATCTTCCCAATGATGCTCAATTCCTCCGTGCGCCCGCATGTTGAGTACGCAATCCAGGCTTGGCAACCTTGGTTGAAACGCGACCTAGAAGCGATAGAGTCACCACAACGGAGAGCAACAAAGCGCGTGAAGGGCCTGCGGTATCACTCTTACCACCGAAGGCTGAAGTTGCTGGGAATTTTCAGCGGACGTTATCGAAGGATGCGCGGCGATCTCATATTAGCGTATCAGATATTGAGTGACCCCAACCACGTATGCCGCCATTTGCTGAAACTTAGCCACAACACGCAGCTCAGGGGTAACTGCTTAAAGTTGAAGGAACAATACAGCCGTCTAGAGTGTCGACGGAATTACTTTTCCCTTCGGGTTTGCAAACCATGGAACGCACTCCCAGACTCAGTAGTATCCTCTCCTACCCTGGATGTTTTCAAAAAACGATTAGATGTTGCTCTCAGCTCCCAACATTTTGTTACCTAAGCTCCTCTGTTGTGGATTACGCCAAGCATGTTTTCAACAAGACTAATGTATCAAGTGGACCTAAGTGAGCGACCATATTTTATTTTCTCACTCCTTACCTCAACTATCACTGCGCCCCAGTGTCTTTCTGAATGTTTACGCGCGATATTTCTTTTTCATTTTACACTGATGTTAATTATCAAAGTATTCATCTCGGCAGACGTTCGATAGATGACCCAGACATATTTTAATTGCATCATATTCACCGCTACCATCCTACGGGACGTGTCAAGCACTTGCTTTTATCCCGTGATAAATCATTGTTCATTGTTCATCTAACAAGCAGGATGAACGAATACTGAGGGTTCCGTCCCCATACTTTTGTCACCATTAGCCCCGCCATTAGTCCCATGTTTCGATTCATGCCCATACAGCCATGGTCCCGCAATTGACTGTCCATTCACGCCTCATCGGTTTCTAGCTTGCTTGGGTATGCGGCACGCTCTGGTGTCGAAGAGAATGTTCCTTATTACTAAAGAAGTGCAACTACAGCTAGGCAGTGTAAAGCGAAATTTTTCGAAACGTTACAACCATTACATCACTTGTAGAGAATAGTGAAAGATGTGATTTGAGCTATATCACCGATAAAGATTCTTACAGGCATATTCAGTGGGACGGTCTCTGGTGGCCAACATGCGTATGCGTAGGGTCGCGGGTTCGAGTCCCACAAGGGACAGATGTAAGGCACACCACTAACGATTTTTTAGATGAGCAAATGGCTTTCGTTGTTTTCCCGGATGTGTAATAGCTATTGTGGTGTTTACGTAGTTCTAGTTTAAATATCCAACGTGATTCGTCGCTTTTGTTTTAACTCCCATGAACGAATGCCATTTGGGATGGCATACATTCTGAACATAGCCCCACTTTGCACTAAATTTACTCAATATATGAAGGTGGCGAGAGTTACCCGGATTAGACTGACCTTCGTCGAAATCTGCGCTCTGCAACATGAGGCAATGTGCGGTCATGACTGATCATGTGATAAAGCCTGGTCCGTGGAAGAAAATGCCGCGAGTTCCCGAAGGAGGTTGGCGAACTTTATGGCAAGTATTTCCCAAGGCAGTAACTTTCATCTCTTGATAGAAAACACCCTCGTGCTTTTTCATCAAGGGTACCAACAAGTAATGCTTGAACAAGCATTGCTTCTTCGAAATGCTGCGACGGGATTCGCTCGTATGTGTAGTCCGGGAATGCACTAAAGTGGCTCACTCGGCTGCTCTCTTTTCGAGTTAAAGTTGTGGCGTGCGCTGTTAACGCGTGTTGCTGTTCTACCCGAAGTTGATCGAGAGAGAAGAACAGTGTCTGTAGGTTTCGTTTGAGTGTAGATGTAATATATCGAAATGTCGCTGAACTTCATGACCGAGGTGGCGGCGCAGTAATCTGATCTTCGTAGTACTATCTATTGTTGCAGGCACGTAGAACCGGAATGTCATAGTTCGTGAAAGCAGTTATCCATTGCGTTCAGAGTTGTGTGGTAAGCCTCTCAGTGTCAGTTACAAAATGCAGGCAGTGCTGTACTCCGGTTAGCCTTGAGTAGTCAAATTAACTCCGTCACTAAATGATTCTGCCCGAGTGAAGTCAAAAATAACCACGGAGTAATGGAAGTATATTGTAAGACCGATTAGGCATGCATGCGCACAAGCGTTCGACAGGTAGGCAAGCAGCAGTTTGCGCTGGGTTCTACGCCGGTGTTTGATTAGGCAAGGAGAGCATAGGCCGAGGGGCGCAGTAAATGTAAGCAACGAATAACGCACAAGTATTGATGTACACACACACACACACACACACACGCACACACACACGCACACCCACACACGGCTGGATGCGCCGTGGCAGCGCGTAGGCGACTAAGCTAGGGATGCATTAACAGAGTGATCACTTAGAGTGGTCATTGGGTAGGAGTGAGAACTAGCGGCTCACAACACCGTCGTGCAGTAGTTATTAGCGCCTTGTAGATGTAAATGATTGCGGCGCTGTGGTGCATCGACAGACTCAACAGCGCTTACGGAGGGACTGAGCTCAGGCACAGAAATGCATGACCATCATTCACATGCCTCAGACCGATGGGGCTTAAAAGAATATCGAACTCAGATGGGCTAATCGGACATAACATTTTGGTTTGAACTGTCCGTTGTATGTTAGAATTGCGGCACTATTCTTATTTAGCAGTACGATACTTCTGAGCAATGGGGCCGCGTCCGAAATGGATACATTGTTCCCATTGCTCGTTCTCCAAGCTGCAATTTGAGATGAGTTTTCCCTATTCTGGACTGAATACTGTATTTTGGGAGCAAGTAGAAATTGGAATCTGTACAGCGCCATCGAAATATGACCCAAAGGAAAAGTCAATCAAGCCGACGAATGCAATGTCATCTACCAGATCAACTGCAGCGACTGCGATAAAAACTACGTCGGACAAACTGGAAGAAAACTTTGTACACGAATCACCGAACACAAGGCGGCCGTCAGAAGGCATGATTCACACTCATTGGTTTCTGCGCATGAAGATCAAGAAGGCCACCGTTTCGATCTGGAGAACGTAAAGGTCCTAGCCCATGGAAGTACAAAACACGCGAGGGGTTTTTTAGAAGCTTGGTACTCTACAACGCATTCGATCAATCGACACATCGAATTGGATGCAGTATACGCCACACTACCGAGGAACGACAGCCAACCCGATCAATTGAATCCGGTGGAACGTGTGACTAGACCAACAGAACTGACGGCAAACTCGCTCGCAGGAGCAAGCAGACAAAGACCACGAAACACAACGAGGCGAGGTCAAAGATCATCTGTCCATCACCCAAACTGAACGCGGATCGAAGTCTCAACCAATAGGATTGCTCGACTTCACGGCCGACCACGTTGGTATAAAAACGCACGCACACCACGCTCAGCGCACTCTCACCGAGGCTCCTCTACGCTATGCTACGCTATTGCATGCCACTCCACTACGCACTGATGACGTCACCTCGATTGGTGACGAAACGTTTGCAACAAAATTGCCAAGCTCAGTGCACAGTTCAACAGCCATTGAAAAAAGCAAACTACTCGATCCTTTGGCACGTCCTCACATGATATCTTTAAGAAACGTCTACCGTACAATAAACTGGAATTCAAAATTGTGAAATGTCAGCGGGTAATCGTTATCAGAACCTAACATGGGATAAATGCACATTCAACAATCAGTTGAACTGTTGCACTGAGTTCGATTCCACTATACACTGGCAAACTGTTCGAGTTATTTACCACTCGCCGTTCCAAGCACGTGGGTTATGGTGCTCGCTTCAGGTCTGGAACAGCATCATCACCTAGTGTGTTGCAAATTGTTCGCAAATAGATCCGTAACCTCAGCATAGGGAAGTCACCTAGATGTAGAATGCGGTAGACCATGATTACCTCGATTCGCAACCAACGATGGGCCAGGGTGCATAGTCCCAACCTCTCGCACCTGTCTCTGTATGGTAAGGCCCGAAAACTGGGGATGAGTCTAGTATCGAGGTGTCGGACCCGTTCAATCTTTTGCGCCTTGCCTCGTGTGTTCGTCTCGAGTGAGCCGTACGTCAGCGTTGGTCTGAGGCGAGCGGCACCCGCTTCAGAAGTGATGCTGAAACTGCGTTTGGGCGCTCAGAGTAGCTGCAGTCTGTTTCGGTGTGGCCTGTTCGTGTTATCCACGGACTTTAAATCGCAACGTGAGAATACGTCTGGGTGAATTTCTGACCGTCATTGCCATCGGTACTCGTAGACGCGCCGTGGGCCAATGAAAAAATCGTCCACCAGCCGACACTCTGAACTGGGTACGAGCTGCAATCCATAATATCCTTTCCCGAGTAGTCCAAACTAGGACTGGTGTTGGGTTGTTATCCAGAGATGTAGAAAATACCTCTACCTGTTTGAAGCGAGTTGTTGACACTTGTTTCCATCAAAAATTGTTGTAGCAAGAAGGACGATGCAATGGAACACACCCCTTTTTAGCGCGATCACATGCTACCTCACCAATCACGCAGACGTAGATTGATGGGAGGTTTCCTCCTCACAGCACACCATATCTTCCGGCTTCCGTTTGCGTCACGTTCATGCGCTTTGGGGACATCGTGATGGCATATTCACTACTCATTTCACCCCCGTATTTCCGCTTCTAGGCGTGCTATTCTGATCCGCCCGGTCGTGAAACAGCTCGTGATTTTCTTGACCGTGAATTCATCATGTTGCTTGGTGTCGGTCCGGGAGACTGTAATAACTGCACTGTTGCCTGATTTATTGCGTTCTCGCCGAATACCTTCTCTGTTCTGCCTGGAGCGGACGCCGCTTATGACACATCCTCGTCTTGTTCTCTCAGGCCAGCTTGGCTACGTCTGTCCACCTCCGTCCGCTTGTTCCCGTTTCCGTCCGCCCTCGTCTTCGTGGAGTTTCTATCCTCCTTCCACCTCCCTACAATGTGAGAGACTCGCTAGGCATGACGAGTCCCGTTCGCTGTACGGTTCGCAAGGAAAATCTGACGTACAATGTAATGACTAGACCATCTATGTCGAAGTGTAATTGCGAAGCGCCGGAGTTTGCGTTTGGTTTCAACACAATCCGAATTTATTAATCTGGATGTTCGAGCACTTTGATGACATGCATACAATCAACTCTAACTGCAAGCGGCTCTTTTTGCGTAACGCATGGATGGTCGTTTCTGAGGACTTTGAAGTGAGAGCAAAACCGTGAGCATCTAATGCACGCACACAGAGACTCAGAGACAAGCGGTTGCATTTGTACCTTAGGCCAATCGAAATGAGTTTATGACGAGTGTAATGAGGATCGAAGTGAGCAGTCAACTTCACACCAAAATGAGCTTTCGCACGTCTGCGTTAATCTAATGATACTAATAATATGTTAGCTGTACGCCGTAACAGCGTTTCGCTGCCATGCGACCACCACTAGTAGCACACGGGCTCAGTATACCGCGTGGACGCCCACCCCTACGCGGATTCGAACCCGCGCCTTAAGATTACGAGACATGCTCTTTAGCACTAAGCTACGAGCCGATGTCTGAGTTCAAGCATTGATGTGAGTCCTGCGGTCACACGGAAGTTCAACCCAGTGGAGTTCAACGTAGCATAGAGCTGAGCATGCCATCACGAGCTGTCTCATCGCTGGCAAATGCACTTACTGCTCACTTTTCAATCTAGTTGTCCTCGGACAGGACGGTTTATACTGTAACCAGGGTGTCAGCACTCTATCTGATCTAGTCGGTCCATTAGAGACCGTTGAGGTAGAAGCAGTGATTCCTAGCAGAGCAATGTCATAACCATATACACACTCCGGCGTTTGGCTTGCCTAATGCGCCATAGAACATAGAGAACGCAGAGACTGTAGCACCCAGTTACACATTAAGTGACAGATACACAATGGCACTCGTGCAAGTAGAATGAAGTCCGCGGTCGCATCTGAACAGTGCACTGCGAAAACGGCTGCTTTTGTTCAACTTATCCCATGGACAACCACATACGGTGATCTTCAACTCACGTTGACCTACAGCACACTCCGACTGGCAGGAAAAGCTGTCTTCTCAGACCGCCTTCATCAATACTGTCAGCAAAACGACACCACAACCGTTTGTACCATTCGGCGCACTACGTTCTCTCTGTTAACTTGAGCTCGGTGCACGTGAATGGATGGCCAGGTAAACGTTCGAA